AGCGTGACCTCTCCCTACCGTAAACTAAACAGACACGCTTTATGGCTTTATACAATGGAGCAGACAGACCATTGGCTAGCTGCTGTTCAGAGCTAAACCCTCATGACAGTCTGGTGCCACTCACGGACTCACAGAAGGGGTAATTAGAAGGCACCAAGTCTTTAATGGTCACAGTAGACATCTAGTCACTTCAAGGTGGAGCAGTTCTCAAGAGCATGAACTCTGGAGTCATCTCCCTGAGTTGGATCCCTTTGCCATTAACGAACTGCTGGTGTGCAGGTAGGTACCCAAGTCCCTGAAGTGAGTGCACTGTAGTGACCAATCATGGGGGGCGGAGTGTAAAGGAAGGATGCCATTGGCTGGTGACAGTTCAGGTCTTACAGCTGGAAACTGTTAAGGTTTTGTATTGGTCGCAGATGACTATCGGCGCTGCACGCCACTTCCTGTGGCTGCTGCATCCTCCCCTAGGGAGGGCAAGAGGAGCCTGACACCTCCTGAGTGACAGTCATGCCCTGGGGCATCACCAGGAGCCAATGGAGCGTCCCCCTTCCTGTCTAATACTTCCTGTGGGGAGCCTGCAACTGCCCACAATGGACACCGAGGACTCGCTGCTGGGTGTGGGTCCTGTCAAGTTCCTGCCAGATTAACTTTGGGGAGGCCTGAGATTTACACTAACGTAAGTCAAGCACCACTCTCCCTCCCTCCCATTGATTTGAGAGTTTCAAATGGCAACAAAATATTTCCTAAAGTAGGTACTTTCAAAATATTGTTTTCCAATAGCATTAAACAATACCATTGTTAATATGAAATGGATTCTCTACACAGATCTCAAGACCAAACATGCACTAAACAGAATGAGAAACCCGTGCTGCAGCTGGCCAAAGGAACCCCACACCAGCAGAGGTGGCTGTGGGGCTCTGGGAATGAAAGCCCCAGTAGGACCAGTGATATTGGGAAGGAGCCTGCCCCTGCAGGGGGCTTGAGACGCAAAACTGTCCTCCTGGAATGAGAGCTTGGAGACTGAGATAGTACAATAGGCAGCTGGGGCTCTGAAGGCTACGCCACTCACGTACACAGGAATTCCAAATGGGCTCCAAACAGTAAGAGCCTGGGGCACATGCAAGGATAATTAAGCAGTCCTGGGTATAGAATGCCCACAGGCAATTACCCAGGATGAGCTGGCGTGTGCAAACGGATGGGGGAATGAATAAGAAATACAGGAAGTAGGGAGACGACCCAAGGAGGGGTGCCCTAGGAACAGGGAGACTTAAAGACGCTGCCCCAGACCGCAGAACCTGGTGTTTGCTCCTACAGCTCACAGCCTCTAATTCATGGGCATGGCCAAAGCACACAGTCAGACAGATGGGGTATGTCTCTCATCTTAAGAGAGAGACGTCTTCACCCCAGGCTGGAGGGTCTGAAAGTTCTCTCCTAAAGAGAGGCCCCAGCTAACTCTGTGTGTGGCACCTCTCCTGTTCAGACTGTGTAGGGCACGGGTGAGAACCTCCTCCAAATCTTTCCCCTGATCTGAGGCCAAGACAAAGCAGGGATCCGGTGGGAATCGATGGCGGCTTCCCTCCTGGAAGTGCACAGTGTGGTCTTGGGATGGCCACCTATAGACCCTCTGCATCCTTTCTCTTGATGTTTTCCAGCTAATCCTGGATCTCATGAGGCCTCCATCTTTGTGAAAGGCAGTCTAGCCTAGCCTGTCTGGCTGTTCGTTAAAGAATGAGTTGGGATTTCATGAAACTGCCTACACTGATTAAAAAAACACAGCATCAGAGGCGATGAGAGCAGACAGCAGAGGGAGCAGACTGTGTCTGCTGAAAGCTGAGAACCCAGACATTATCGCCTACAGTCCTAATTCCAGTTCTGGGGGGGGGGGTGCCGTCATCACCGCTCGCCTGCTGGAAAGGCTGAGGCTCGGAAGCACTGGCTAACTTAACTAAGCCTCAAATTTTTAAATTAAAAAAAAAAAAAAGCGCAAAGCAATGAAGGGTGTCATCATGAGTGACACTCGGCAGGCACCGAGAATCCAGAGAGCAGTCAGAGAATGACACCTGAAGGAAAGTCACATCCACTGCAAAGCGTGTGCTTTGGAAACTCCTTGCAGGCCAACTAAGCAATGCATTCAGTGCTGGATGACTTTAATATACACCTGTGTATACCTATGGGATATACCTCCACCTGGTCTTCAGTAGCTAATGACTTTGGAGTCTATTGACTCTTAACACACGCGTACACACAGACACGCACACACACACACTACACACACATACACGCTTACACACACACAATACACACACACTCACTCAGACATACACACACACTCGCTCACACGCACACACATACACGCTCACACACACAATACACACACACTCGCTCACACACACACCAGGGTGGAGTGGTATGTCCTGAGCTTCAGGGGCTGGTGACCGGCCCTAGCGTTATGTGTCACCTGTGTGAGTGCTCAGCTCCTGTGTGTGGGATGAATGACTGCCTTACCATAAATTTCATAAGCTTAGAGATAAAACATCAGGATTCAATTCACACTTGATCTCTCTGTCCTGACACATTTGGGGAAGGACTGACTATATTTTGGTTTTGTTTTTTTGGTTTTGTTTTTTTTTTTTGTGGTACCCAAAAGAGGCAGTCTAGGGATTCGAGTCACAGACTTTGTAGATATTTCCAGCCATGAGTTTGTGCCTACTCGTGTGTGCCTGGCCGTGAGTCTGTGCCTACCTGTGTGTGCCACCACGCCACTGACAAAGCTTAAATGTTAGAAGCCAGTTTTGTTGTTATCGCAGAAGACCAACCTCAGGTTTTTCTCTGAAGCCTTTGCCAGGGGCACACGGTATTCCTTACAAGTCCAGCCAGGTCATCATCTACACGTGACTTACATCACGTTCAAATTCTACGCTTCTCTTAGTATGGTGAAGTCACCCACATGACCGCTGTGAGACTGCAAGTGTCCCGGACAATGCCTGCAGCGTGGTGTCCCACTGGCCATTTCCCCCATGCCTCCAGGGTGGGGAGAACCTTTTGGCCCAAAAGGCACAGAGTCAGTCTATTCTCGGGGTCCCCGCTCCTCCAGGGCCGTGTTCATCTCCTACACTGAAAACCTTCTTTAAAGTCACGAGGCATGTGAAAGCTAGTTGATTCTGCTAATTCCAAAGACTTCTAGCCTTTCTCAATGGTCATTTCCCATCGAAAGTACTTTTAATGGTCAGTCAGCTCAATAAATAAATGTAGGTGCTGCCGGTCAGACACGCCCTACAATTCCATCAACAGGACGTAAACTAAAGAGAACAGAAGCATAGTTAGTGCTAATACGGCCCTGAGGTCTGCCTCTTCTCTTGTACAAGAACCACACAACTCAACCACACACACACACACACACACACACACACACACACACACACACACACACACACACGCATGGGTTAGAAGCAGCTCTGGGTCCACGGGCTCTTTTGTTCAAGAGCCAGACCTACTCTAGTTCCCAGGACCACGCACGTCTAGGCTTAGCTAGCAATGGCTAACAACCGGAGGCCGCTTTACACCTAACAAAGCCTTTCCATATGATCCGTGATCATAATAATGCGTTAAGTTAATGGAACATTCGGGGGAGGGAGGGAGAGAGGGAGCTGACGTTTGTCCAGTCACCTGCTCGGGGCAGTCAAGCAGCAAGACGCCTTTCCTACCGGAAACATGCTCAACACAGCAGGGCTGACCTGCTCGGAGAGAACCAGGGGAGCACAAGAGCAACGCCCACGCTCAGGGGCCTAGACCTTCCCTCCTACACAGCTGCACACAGCTGCACACAGCTGCACACAGCTGCACACAGCCGGGAGGGCTCCCAGAAGCCCACAGCAAGGGCTCCGCTGCCGTCCTAGTTGCTGCTGTCTCCTCTCCATTTGGTTCCTGAGGAGGCTTTGAGGGCCACACCCAGAAGTGTTCCCCTTTCTAGTTTGAAGCAGGGCCTTCCCATGAGCCAGCAAAGACCCCAACCATGGCGTGAGCCGAGGCGGACCAGGAGAGACGTGTCTTCACACTGATCTCATGTCTCAGAGTTGAGGAAAAACTCGAGAGCAACACAGTGTCTTTAAGAAGTTTTTCGTGAGGAGAAACACCTCAGCAGTGAAAATCAAAACCATCGGCAGCCACTCTGGTGTTTTTCAATTCGTCCCCTTGAAGGCCGGTTGCCCCGACCTAGGAGCAGAGGGTGTGAACTGTACCGGGTTGTGACAGCGTACGGGACCTGCCGCTTTGGGAGATGGGTGCAGCTGGGTGAGGCCAGATGCTCCAATGGCTCGATCCTACTCCCCAAAAACATCCTACGTTACTAAAGTGGAACCCTGCTAATGCCCACTGGCGTTACTGCCCGATAAGAGTCCTAAAAGTTCCCCTAATGGAGGCACCACAATGCCATCATAGGATCGCTAGTTTATGGCATTTACAACACAGCAGCATGGAAGACAGATAATAAACTTCAGAGTAGAACCTGAGTCTCATTTTATTCCTTAGGGACAGGACAAAGGAGCCAAGAGAGGACTAGAGGGCATCTTTCATGACGGTTGCACATGCACGCATTAAACCGAACCCTGAGTTTCCTCACAAATAGAACTACCCTGGCCAGTGGGGAGACATGTGCATGCCCTGCAGAGACTTTCTAGTGTGCCGTGCGTGACAGACACCAGACAACACTTCCCCTTTTCCCCAGCAGACGTGAGAAACACGACCAGTTCTTCACATCGCTCCGGGGCACACCAACAATTCTGTCTGAACAAACTCGCACCCTGAGATGCACACCAAGTCTCGGGAGCTGCTTTTCTCCCGGCTCCGTAAGGTGCTTCCTAAAGCGGGCGTGCGCGGGACCCCATGCTCACGGTTCACAGAGGAAACAGAAATGGGAGAAAGAGGAAAAGGAAAAGGAAAAAGCAGGAAGCCTGAGCTTGGAGCATACGCGCATGCGCGCACGAGTCCAGGGGACCGCTTACGTTAGCACAGTGCAAGGCCAGGGCGCAGAAGACGGCGAACATCTTGAAGTTGTTCTCATCCGTCTTGGAGAAGGCACTGCCGCTGATCTTGTTCACCATCTGTACCACGCCGATCACGCTGCCACGGCTCACTATGGGCATGCACAGAATGTTGCGTGTGGTGTAGCCCGTGTACAGGTCCACCTCCCTGTGGAAGCGGAAGGAACAGCACTGTCACCGGAGCAAAAGGCCAGTGGGGAGGGACAAAGAACCCGTCCCGCTATAAACCTCAACACAGCCTTTGTATTATATTGTATTATATTATATTATATTATGTTATAGCTGGTGTGTATGCATTACCGACGGCCAGAAAGGCACCAAGGGTTCAAGAAGCTGTAAACACGAAAGTGTTTTACTGTTGAAACATTTTCACAAACACCCAGGCTCGTTTGATCTTGTTTAGAACGGTCCACTGCTAGAGGCTCCTGGTCTATCGACGGGGCTCTCCGCGTAGTAGGTGATTGATTGGGGGAGGGGGGATGAAGTGCAGGAAGTCTGGTACACAGTGTCTTCCATGGAACTTGGCCATATTTATGAGACCTACTGGTAACTTGCATTTTCAACAGGGAGTGCTCACATTTAAGATTTAGAGCTGGAGTGAGCCTCCATGCCTATCACCCAAGCAGCGCCCAGCCACCTTCATCTGTGGGAGGGTGTGCGACACGATCAGGGTGCGCGGCTCACGGAGCAAAGCTCCTTGCTATCTATTGTGTCCTGCAGAGTGGAGGGTTCGCTGACCCCTGATCTGAGGAGATGCTTTTAGAAGGAGTGACTGGGTTCCCCAGGTGTGCTTGAGTCCTCGGTGCCTGGCTTCCCCTTGTTTAACCATCCAGGCCTCACTGCTGATCCGTAGTCTCCACCAAAGGCACATTTCATGTGTACATGCTCCACGTGATTGACAACGTCATGGGTTAACAGATTGCTACAGACTATCACAAGTAAGGCTACTGGGAAAATTTGCATCTGTGTGGACAGATGATTTCGTTTTCCTTGGAGTGCATGTATAGGAGCAGGGCAGACTGGTGGATCACTCATGATCAAAACCTCTTTTCTCAAGAGGCTGTCTGACTGTCTCCTCCCACCAGCAAAGAGGGAGGGTCCCACCCACTCCACAGTCCTCGCCCTTCCGCCCTGATGCCAAATCGTAAAATCTCAGCTGCTTGCCCTGGTGCACACTAGAAGATGCCTGCCAAAGCTGGGCCCTGTACACTCTCCACGCAGCCATGGACACATGTCCTTTCTAGTGAGGCAGCCAAAATGCTCTGTCCTTCATGGGGGGTGGGACCCCATACAATCTGGATATTAAGATGGTGACATCACATGCTCTGCCAGTGCCCTCCTTAAACTGATAGCTGCTTTTTAAAAAAATTTTGCCAACAGTCTGACTCACCGAGTTTACATAAAGATTTTTTTTAAATGATGACAAATAATTTCAGTAAGTAAGGACCAGCAAGCTTGTCTGGGGAAATGTAAGGTTGCTAGTGTTTCCAACTTGTTGGCAAAACATTACTAGAACACCACTGTGGTTCTATGTGGGTCTTGCATGTCTGACATCCGTCATTAATTACATGGAATACTTCCAGAACTCTTTATTGCTTGTAATGTAAGTCACGAGTATGTATCGACTAAACACCATCGTCACATATCCGAACTATTACTCTAATAGCTTCTGCATCCACCTTACGACTTCTAATTCAAGGGATTGAATAAAACATACACTTTGATTTCAAGTTCTCCAGAGGCTGAAATGAATAAAAAAAATTCTCAATGACCCATTGTAACATTTCACTGGAAGGACTTCCCAGTTGCGTGGCTTATTCAACTCCTGCCTTGTGTGCAGTGAGGTTTCTAGCGCTCTTAGGGGAAGTGTCTGCAGTCCTAAGGAACACATACAAGTCAGCGTTCTCATCCCCGTTTAAAAGAGGCACAGGGAGATCAGGTAACTTCACTCAAAATCAGGACATGGCAATCTAAAAACCCTGAACACAGTGAGACAGAGCTCCGTGTGGTGAAATCATGACACCGCCACCAGGAGAAGCGACAGCTCTGCCGCTTGACACCACTCCGTCAGGCCCCGGCAGGGAATAGCCTCAGACTGTGTCCTCTACGTGTCTGGTTTGCTCTGTCCACTGGTAACAGGCTGGGACAACAGACTCCTTCTGAGAGGCTTCAGCCACGGGACGTCAAGGGAGAAAATGGCAAGGGCCAGACTCCCTTCTTACCTGTTAAAACGTGGGTCCGCGTAGGCATCTGGGATGTTCAGGACTTCCCCTGTTCTTGCCACTTGGCCAGCAATCCCCTTCTCAATTGAAAATCTGCAGAAACAAACAGACAAAACAGAGAGGGGCGTGATAATTAGATGGTGATGTCACAAAATAGTCATGAAGCGTTTCGCCGACGTCAAATGTTGAACTGAACCTTTAAGTGTACAGATTAATCTTACATTTGTGTATTGCTAAATAATCCTGTGAAATACATCAAAGGGAAGCAGACAGACACCCTACAGTGCTAGCTCAGAACCTGGTTTGAAGATGTAACACATAGTAACTTGAGAATGTAGATGACGGCAAACCGAAAGGGAAAACTCTCTGCGGGTCTCTAGCACTGGTCACCACTAATCCCCCTACACCAGCAAATCTCCTCATGGATTACAGTGTGTGCACTTTCCTAGTGGATTTCCTGCACAGCTGGACTCACTAGCTTGCACACAAAAAGCCAGGCTCCAGCTCCATTGACCTTCCTGAACACAGGACATGAAATATCTGTTGTCTGTAACCCACGTACCATGTAGAAATGGTACCAAAGAGTTTTCACATCTCTAATTTGCTCATTTTAAAAATAAGCAGAACCCAAAAATGAACTGATTATATTTGGTTATATTTTTGTAATAAAGTGTCACGCTGGCAAACACTTTTCACATTACTGCATTATAATCCCACATGCATTTATTTCAAAATTTAGTTACTTAAGAAATGCATATACAACTTACACTAATAGTTTTCAAAACCTCAAAAGGGTACTGACCCACCGTAGGACTAAAATATCCCCAAAGGACCAGCAATGCGTGAAGTGCAAGACCACCACCTTCCCTGTTCTCTCGGGCACAAATTAGACACCACGAGCAAGGGCCAGAATGGATTCATGACACAAGCTCGTCTAACTGGGTCTGAGAGCCGCGTGGATGGGAACGTCCCATCAGCTATTTTTCTCTACGGTGAGCAGAAGCCCACAATGCTGGGGGCCAGCATTGAGCAGTCCTCACAAAGCCACAGCCCGGGTTCCCTCCACTCCTGCTCTCTCTCTGCTCGTAAATGGGAGCCACTGTTCCCACCATAAGATCAGCACCAGTGGTGTGGTTCGAGCGAGGCCCAAACTTTCGGCAAGAAAAACCAGTTTAACTGGGTGACTGTAAGCAGGCTGGCAAGTCCGGGAGCTCGAACCAAACCCAGAAAGGAACAAAATGTAAGGACACCCTGCCCCTACCCCATGTGCTCTGAAGGTGTCTTTATGTCAGCATTAGGTGACTGTGTAACCTGTGTAACTCAGGACTGTATAATGCAGGATCGGTACCCTAGAAACAGCAGGAAGTGCTGGGGGGGCAGAGTGGAGAGGCAGCAGCCTGTGGCTGGCCTCCCTTTGGTCCCATGGTACTAGCTCCTTAACAGGATGAAGTAGCCAAATGAAAAGCATTAATTAGTGAGGACACAGTGTTGCACTCAAGAAGAATTTTGTAGCGATATTTGCAAGGTTAAGTGGACACGGAGCAAGAAGAGGCAAATGTTGAAAGGGTCTTGACCTGTGCAGTGATGCTCGTCTCCTCTGCCACCTGTTAGTGCTCCCTGCAGGCTTCCAGGTTGTGACAAGACTGAGCCACCAGGGCTCCACCAACAAGTAAAGGCCACCCGTCCATTTCAATGACAGAAGCTGCCAGTTAAGCAGCCAAGAAGGCTTTTCATTTTCGAAATGCAGCAGAAGGGTAGCTGATTCAGCCGATGGATGGCCAGGCCCTGGAGGTGTTCAAAGTCATTAAATTTCCTCTCCTCTGGGCCGTCGGTGGCCCTCACTGGTTGGGAAGCAGCAGGGGTTTTGAGTTGGTTAAGTTCACCCTGCTCCTAGACGCGGGAGCCTGCCTGCCGGCTGCAGCTGGAGTGACCTTTACCTACCTGGGAGCACTAGTAAGTTTTTCCAACATGATTTCCAAAAGGACCGCCTCCGGAAGACGGCATTTCCAGGAGTGACGCTAACACTTCCTAGGCGCGGTTTCGCTGGCACTGCAATGTCATTCCCAGAAGCACTGCCTTCAGGAGGCGGGTCCTGGTGGGAACGATACCACAGTATGACAAGTGTTGTCAGCGCACCTGTGAATAGGCACAGAGTAGTGGGCGACAGACAGAGGGACCTGCGCATCGGCATGGGGGCCAGGGCGGCCGCTCCAGCTGTACCTGATCTCCTTCGTCTTCTTGAAGACGGGCCTGCCCTCCTTCTCCTCCCCGATGTCAAACAGGTCCGAGTACAGCTCCTTGTTCTTGTGGTCCACCTGGAACAGCGCGCAGCGGTCGGCGTTGACAAGGTTTTTTGCGTAAATCTGAGACAAACGAGAAGCCAGAGTAAGCAGGCCTGGAATCGGAAGCCGGTTGCAGTGAGCCTTAAAGGCTTGAATGCACACTACAGTGGGAAGGGAAGCCAGGCTTGTGCGCAGCCGCGGGGTTGGTGAAGCACGGCCAACGTTGCGGTGACACCCGTCTGGGTGCTGATCCCAACAGATAGCCACAGGAACAGTGTGCGGCGTTGAAATACTACAGCACTGTACTTGAGCCGCCAACCAGCCACTGACCCCCCCTTCCTGACAATCCTCAAGCTCTCTGAGCTGCTCCCAGGAGCTCCTAGGGGGGTGTCCCTGGGGTCTTGGGTTGTCTCAGTCAGCACCGTGGTCAGCGCGTGTAGATCCAGGTCAATGCAATAGGGACTATAATATATTTATTTACCAGAATGAGAGCTTACACACAAATGGCTGGGGAGTCAGAAGCGTGTCAGGCTTCCAGGGGAAGAGAGGAGAAGAGGGATTCATTTCTCTCTCACTTCCTTTTATCTCTACTTGTCCTAAATTTCCTTATCCCCGCCCTTAGGGCAGATAGCTTTGTGGGGCTCACCCCTACAAGTGCGCACTGAAAGAATATGGAACACTCTGGGCATGGAGACCCGCGCCTTTAATCCCTTCGTTCTGAGGGCAAAAGCAAATGGAGCTCTGATTTCTGGGACCACCAGCGCTACGCAGTGAGACCCCGACCGAGCATTGAATATACAAAACAGACCCTGGGCTGCACTGCACGAGGAGATGGCATTAAGGTTCGGGAGCACCAGGGTTTCTAGCCCCTTCTGACTTCTCAGCTTTCTCCACCTGAGCCTGAGGCTCCGAGGGGAGGAAGGGCCTGTGAGAGTCGAGTCCCAGAACACTGGCTGGGGGGAGGGGGGTGAAGAGTGTCTCAAGGTTAGGAAGCCACAGAAAGCTTGGTCCTAAGAGCCAAGGTGTCACTCAGTCGGAAAAGCGCCACCAAGCACACACAGGCTGAGTCCAGAACAGACATTGATGCTGGGAAGGAGGCCAGACGGGCCCGTGTGTTTCGCACGGGACCCACAGAGGACGGAGCAAGCACAGAGGGGGAGGGGGAGAGACACTAGGAAAAAAAAACATCTAGAAAAGATCGGAGAAAACTGAATGAGTGAGCACGACCAGTGCTGCAGAGGCCGGGCTGAGAGCCCACAGGTTTGGAAGAGGGGCCCAGACAAGAATCTCAGGACAGGGACGGTGCAGCCATTGGAGCCACTCCGGAACAGGTCTCAGAGCACCCACTTCCAGGAGAGGCTGAGACATGGTTCAAGTAGATGGAACTTTAGGATCAGCAAGGAGGGGGGAGGCTTAATTCAAGTAGGCTGGGCTCCCTGTTGTGACTCCTTGGAGACTAGGGGGCCAAACCGAGCTCTCCCCACATAACGGCCCTTTAAACAAGGCTGTCCCCGGGTCCTCCCCAAGATTTCAACGAGGTGAAGAAAGGCAGAGGACCCCAAGGCTCTGCAGCTCATAACAAATTAACACAGCATGGTCGTCTAATACACATGCACGATGTCACACCATGGGTGAAGACCAAGACCATGAGGGCTCGAAGGAAATCACAGGCGAAACCGAAAACACCTACCATGATGTGTTCGAGCAGAGAGTCTATGGCGACTATGTTATCAAAGTATGTCCTGAAAGAAACAAACAAGAAAGCATGAGTCCCATGAGTAACCTTGCCGATATCACAGTGCATGCGAAGCTCTGAACACACTTCATGGGTTCCACATTTAAACAAATGAATATACACGTCATTAAAAAAAATCAAGGAAGCATTAGCATTGCCTCAGTGCAGACTAATTCCAGGGGAGTCTTCCAGTAATTATATCATTGTCCAATGGACAGGAGGGAGAGAGACTGTAATGAAAACTAAATTGGATTGGATTCAGGTCAACCAACTTAACATGCTCATGAACGGCTTCAAGAAAACAATCTTTAAGTTTATTATATCCGCCGATACAATTATCATATGCATGATCACTGGGGGTGGGGAGGGGCGGGGAATGGAGAAGTTAGAAGTTAAACTGCATTGAGAAAATAAAAGAGTTGACCCGAGAAGAAATACCATCATGCAAGTGGTGAGGACCTAATGGCCTTTAGTTATTCTAACTAAAGTAAAACGCATGTTCGATGGTAGGATTAGGTCATAAGGCCTGTGAGACGTCCACTGACGTGTAACCTCCAAAGATGAGTTAACAGCCAACTATCACAGAGCATACTGAGAAATGTTCTGTGGGGACGGCAGCCGTGCCCTGCAATTAAGGTGGTGCGTGGTGATGCCATGAAGCAGTGATACAGGACACTCTCCTTGTAGCTTGAGGAGACTGAGGATTCCACTGCATTGGGAGCTCCTGCCTAGGGAAGGACGGGACGGCACCGGATGAGTGAGCTTCCCACTTGAGCAGAAGATGGGATGTCATAAAGTGTCGCATGGGCATTCAGTTGACTTTGGGACGCTTCCAAGATGTGCGCATGTGTTTAGCAGAGGGAAGCTCCAGGCCCCTGTCTGCCTGCTCTGAAGTTAACATCATCGTGGTTCTTTCACATTGGGCAGGGTCCAACCATTTGAAAGCCGAGTTGACTGAGCGATCACTAGAGCTACCTGTCTCTAACTCCAGACTCCAGAGAGCAGCTCAGCTGCAGAGTGAGCTGGCAACTCCAGCCCGAGCACGCAGCAGGGTTCCAGTTAGGCAGCACCAGACGGGAGAGGGAAAGCCGGTCCCCGTCACAGTGTTGCTGGAGGCCTGGGAGGAGTAGGTACCCCCCAGTGTACTAAACTGGTAGGAGAGCACAGCCTGGGTGACCATATCCATGGGGTGGGCTGCGTAGCAGGTAAAGCCAACACAAATGTGGGATTTAATGAACATCCATAATAGCTTTCACTGCCAGCCCGGGGGAGGTGATCCAGGTCAAACTTCAGAGAAGCGGAACGCTGTCTCAAAAATCACACCAGAGACACTGGAGATGCAATGGCATTATTAGTCATGCTGTGTAAAGTGACACTGTTGGAAAAGGCTAAAAGCACACGTCTTGGAAAAAAGATCAGCGGTGGCATCTTTTATTTCCAAAGTAAGTGTCACATTGAGAGCATCACACATACACCTGTGTGTTTTTCTAACACACAAGCGGACCAAGGATCCAGATGCAGCTCTGTGGTACACACAGCATGACCAAGGAGCCTTCCCAGAATGTATGTGTGCCCGTGGGGCAGACGGAGGTGCGTCGTTACCAAAGAGACTTGCGCTTTGCGTCGCTATCACCAACCGAGGCCAGGAGAAGCCCTGGTGAACACTTACTTGGAGACGTCGAGCAGGAAGTCATTCAGTTCCGTCTGTTTGGCGAGACCTCTGCACACCTGCCACACATACACACAACAGTCGTTAGTCTCACTCCGGATCTCTGCCGACTTAGGGACAAAACCCAGAGCGCCGTTGACACCGTCACGGTCAGGCTTACTAACCTGAAAGTGCAGCTTGCTAATCACTGTCCCGAGTGTTTGTTACCTCGCTGGATGGCTGCCCGCCATCTGGGACAGGCACTCTCTGACTGAGGCCAAGAAGCAGAGAGCAGTGCACGGACACACTCTCCACCCCGAATGAGTTACACGCCTGCTTCTACTTCCAAATTTGCTACCTGGCATGGACCCAACACACTTTGTGGCCCAAGAAGACCCTGCTACCCATGCCATCGCCCTGCAATTGCATGTTTCTTCTTAGTCATGCAAAAAGAAGAAAAACAAAAACAACAAAAAAAAACACATACGTACTTTCACCAAGAGATTTAAGGTGGCTTACAAATGAGTATAAGGAGCTACACAGATGAAATGGTGCAGATATAAAACACTACACCCAAAACCGAAGCTCCAGCTCACTGGCTAGCCTCCGGCTCTGACCCCCACAGCTGCTGCCTTGGGGGCCCCCTGTCAGAACACCCCAGACTCACCTGCACCTGATGTATTGCTACAGAAGCCCAAGCAAGATTGGCTGTTGCGACCTGCAAAACACACACATATGCGTGTACCAAACGAGCTTGACCTCAAAGGCTCATCATGTTCGCACAGCAAGCCGTTTTACTTGCTGAACCCGTATATATTGTCTTCTTAGGGTATTAGATCTTATTTTTCAGTTCGACAAAAATGCCTGCCTGAAAATGCCTCCGACTGCCTCTTTAAGCTAGTGTGGGATCCCTGAGAGGGAAAGAAACCGTGTGTATAGTCCTAGGCATCTGAGTACCGAAGCTTATATCCCGGTTGCGTTTGTTTATTCCCCTGTGTGTTGCGTGCGTGAAAATGTATGCACATTGTGCGAAGACCAGAGGAAAAATCTCAGGAACGTCTGCTTGCGTTGAGGCGAGATCTCCCCAGCTTAGAATGCGGCAACTGGGCTGCGCCAGCAGGAAGGGTCGGGGTGGGGGGTGCCCACCTGTCTCTGCTTCCCAGGACACACAGGCATTGCCGCGCGGCGTCTGGCTTTTTAAAGGGGGGTGTCAGGGAACCCACTGGGATCGTCACACTGTCTGCCGAGCCCCTCCCCCTCCCCTCAGCCCAGCTTCTACTCCTGTAGAAGTGGGTAGAGCCTAGTCACTGCAGGGACCTGGTCTGTCCACCTCAGGAGAGGCGTGTGCGTGTGTGTGTGTGTGTGTGTGTGTGTGTGTGTGTGTGTGTGTGTGTGTGTGTGTGTGTGTGTGTGTGTTCAGTGTTGATGAGTCAACTCCAGCCAGAGCACGGGACGTGCATGTGACTGAAAGAGGACATGCTTAGGGAAGACACGAGGCAACCAGGGTGGCTTCGTAGGCACCGAAGCACATTTTTTTTTGTTAAGATATTTTTATTCAGGTTTAAAAAAAAAAAAAAGAACCAACAGAGTGTATTTCTAATTTAGCCAGTCTCCTCTTTAAAAAAAAAAAAAAAAACAGCTGCTCAGGAAAACAGGTTTTTTAAGAACCACACGGCTGTTCCCAGCCAAATACGGTCAGGCAAACTGACTGCACTATTCATTCATGAATTCGCTTAACACTGGTGGGCGCCACCAATGAGGGCAGGACGCTGAAAGACATTTTTTTCGATGTGTTTTTTAAGATATTTTTAAATGTTAATTTTAACTCATATATATGGGGGGATTGTCTACATACTACATATGTGTCTGCCAGAAGTGGCTATCAGCCCCCCCCCCCCGCACTGGGGTCACAGATGGTTGTGAGCCGCCATGTGGGTGCTGGGAACTGAACTCGGGTGCTCTGTGAGAAAAGCCAGTGCTCTTAGCCCCTGGGCCATCTCTCCAGCTCCTACTGAGCAGGGTTTGAGCCTTACCTCCTGGTGACTGAGACAGAAGGCCTCTTTGCCCCAGTGCCTGTACAGCTCAAGGATGCCGATCAAGTCTCCTATGGCCGTGACGATGGGCAGGCAGAGAACAGACTGGATTCGAGTTCCCGATTCCAGGCCAGTGCCTCTCGGAAATCTCTCGTCCTGAAAAATCAAACAAGGGAGGACTCGAACTTCAGCATCTTAGCTTTGCGCACACACGAGTTAGCGGTGAGCAACGGATGCTGGTTTCACGGGATTGCAGCAAGCAAGGTCGTCGGCAAGTCTGGGGCTCGTCCCCCCCCCCACCCTTTCTGCCAGAACCACCCGGGGCTCCCCAGGTGTATGCGTGTGTACGGCACAGGCAAACACGGTGTGAAGAGAAGCGTGCACAAACATCTCTTTTGTTCTTAAGGTCATGCTAGCCCATCCTTCAAGAGCCCAAAGTGCGCATTCAAGTCATCCGTTATCAATCATTTATCATCACGATGAAAATGGGGTTGGTTTTAGTAGTTTTCTATCTTGGCTAAAATTTCTACAGAAATGGGAAAGATGAACACCAAGGTAGCAGCTCTATGCACTTGGTTTCCGCTGTCTGCGGGAAGCTAAGGGGACGCGGGAAACCCTCCCGGCAGCAAGAGCGACATGGAAATGTTCGTGTGGCTTTTACTTTTAGCCTGTGAAAGTGCCCAGAGCAGAACATTCAGGTGGGAATCCACGGGGCATCGACTCTTTGCTCCCCTCCCCCACTTTAGGCCCTTTCTTTCTTTTCTCTTCAATAAAGCAACAGGTAATCTGTTCCAGGTAAATCGCCCGCAGAAGAAAACCAAATCAGAAGACAGGTTCTAAGTCTCCAGTTCCGCAGCTTCACCGCGGCGGCACGCGTTGGCGTAAGGGCTCTGTCCCATAGAGGGCACAGCAGGTGTAATTTTCAGGCTGTAACAGTTAGACTATAAGCAAATTCATTTATTGATCTTTACCTTCTTTTAATGCTTTTAGAGCTAATTCGGAAACGAATTAAATGGCAAGACCAAAGCAATATGTCACCTTTCTTAATTAAATCCCCAGAACATGAGAGCCAATGTGCCCCTACCCCAAGGATGTCCTCCACGAGCAGCGTTTTCCTAGACTTGGCCACATAAGCAGAGATGGTGGTTCCCTGGGTGATGGGTCCCGCGGGGATAAGCCGGGGTTGACCTTCCTTTATTCCGGGCGGTGTGAACACACACAGACTCTAGGAAGAAGAAGAGACGATGTTTTAGGTTGGTGTCCTCTGTCTCGGCCCGATGTCAACCAACTCACCAACTCATAGTGGCAGAGCATTACCTAATTAGGGTGCCGATCACAGGAAAAGACACAGGGTGATACAAGGCTTCACGGGGGGGGCAGACGGGAAGCCTAGAGTGAAGTCTTAACAGTCCTGCTTCACACAGAATGCATGTTTGAAATCAGAACTCACAAACACACGGGCACAGAAACTCTTGCAGTGAGCCTCCTCTTCTCAATGAGACACGATATGAAATAAAGACGCCACCTTGCTAATGGACCCTTGACTCTGTCATGCCGGCCTATCAAGGCCAAACCCAGGGCTGAGTGAATGTCACTGCCTTCCCAGAGTCACAGAACCCTGCTGTAAGACCCTGTCACTTGCATCGCTAGGGCTGGAACTGCAGGTTTTGGGGTAGCATGAGTTAAGAAGGCACCGACCTATCCTCACTGCAAAATCATGGCTTGTCTCAGTGATTTCCTCTCATTAACGGACTCTGGGCAAACATTTTTGGCTTCTGGCTTTTTTTTTCCCTAGTCCACTCTCAAGAACATTAGAAAGGTACAAGGGAATATAAAAATGTAATTAATGCAATAGCTATGAACTAATGAAATTGAGAAATGCATAATACTATTTAAATGAAGCAGGGAAATCTGCCCTGTTGATTTCAACCACCCAGACTGTTTCACTGGCAAAGGCACACCGCAGACATTTTCTGGAACACATAGTTCAAAGATCACTTCATTCGTGAAATTTCATTTTAATGAAATTGAGCTCAGCCAGCTCAATTTTAAAGACAACTTTTAATTAAACAGGAGCGGATGAAAAATTAAAAGAAAAAAAACAAATCGAGGAACAAAACCCATGTCTTTGTGCTATTCACCACTTCTACCACTAGATGGCAGCGCTAGGAAGCGAATTCAAAGGGAGGCAGCCAAAAGGAAGCTAGGCGCCAAGTTCCCAGGAATTTGTAGCAGGGAAGGCAAAGGCGCTTTTTAGAGCTGATTAGAATGTATTCCACAGTTGGGTGAAAACATCACAATGAGAGTACACTACCCGTGCTGAATATAAAAACTGCAACAATTTCAGGTTGCAGCTTTACGTACAAACACACACACTGTTTTTTCTTGCTTTTCCATGTTCCCCCAATTAGGACCCAAAAACCAACATCCTATGAAGTTCATCCTTCATTCATTGTTTTAGAGTAAAATTTAATTAATGATGATGATGATGATGATGATGTAATTCAAGACAAAAATCAATGCCCTTACCAGAGGCTGCCCTTGGGTAGAAGGTCCCAGGCTGCTCTTTGTGCAAAGGTCACAGCTTAGGAACCCGAGTGGGGCCTTTTTAAGTGTTTCCTCTCCGGAGAGAACGATCCTGCGCAGGCTCCACAGGGCAGCACAGTTCTCCGGTACTTAGCCAGTGCTGCCTAGTGACGTCACTTACCTCCTCAGGCTGCCTCTGCTGTCAACAACTGAAAATGCTACAGTGTTTCCGTTAGGGGCGCAGGCAGACAGCTATGCTGGTTAAGAGGCCATGCATGGAAGATAAAGTGTGTGAACACGGGTTGGAAGATACATCGCCAACGCTGCAGACTCCTCCTGCAGAATAAGAAGTCCTCTCCCTGGCTGAGCATTTCCTCCTAGAGTGGAGCCCGGCTGAGCTGTGGCACCTGGCGGGTCCTGCTCTATTCCCCAGAATAAGTCGGTTGTGTTCTGCTCTTTATGTGAGCTGACTCAGCGTGTTTAGGTTGCTCCTCCTCTTAACAGCGGCTGGACAGCCTCGGTAAGGAATACGTAAGGATTCCACAGCCACGCGGTATGTTTTGTCTTAGGTTTTTTTGTTGTTGTTGTTGTTTTGTTTTGTTTTTATTTTTGTTTTGTTTCTGGCCTCTAGCTTCCTCTTAGCTTTCTCTGCTCTGTTTGCCGCCCCTGGTGAAAAGTACCTGGATTTTTTAAAAATTTGGTTGGCAGGACCAATTCCACTCACAAATTACACGTCTCATTAGTGTTGGTTTTAGAAATTACGTCACCTCTGCTGGCCGGTTTCCGGAAAGTGAAGCTTCTGTAAAGTTTTGTGATTTATCCCACAGTATGTGCCCACCCTAAAGTCTCTGCGGCAGTCTGTCTGTCCCGGTTTGCCTTGTTGTAATTCTGTAACTGAAACAGGTAATTTTTGTCCTGAAGTTTATTTTGCTTTGGACAGACTCTGTCCCGAGGGGTGATGCACACCTCTAATCCCAGCCTGCAGGAGGCTGAGGCAGGACGAACACGAGTTGGGTCAGATCCCAATGTGCCCCGCCCCGAGCTCCAGACCAGCAGGTGTCGCAGAGCAAGCCCACCCACGTTGGGGGAAAGGAAGGAAGACATTCGATGGTGACTTTAGGAAGCCGACTTCACGTCTTCAGATTCAGACTACTGCTCCATTTGGAGTTGAGTTTTGTGCAGGGTAAAAGATGAGGGTGACTTTTATTCGTCTCTGTGCAGCTAACCAGTTTGACCAGCTGTCTGCTGAAGGTATGTCTTTTCTCCAGCGTGTACAGTGTCTCTTTGACAGGCATCAGGTAGCTGTTAGAGTGCCTGGCTCTGCACATGGGTCCTTGAGTCTATCCCGTTAATCCATAACTCTGCTTTTATACCAGTGAATGTTGTTTCCATTATTATAGGTCTGTGATCAAACCCGAAATCTGGGGTGGTAATACCTCCAGCAGGTCTTCTGTTACTCAGGGCTGCTGGGGCTAACTTCAGTCTTTTGTGTTTCCATAGGACTCTGAAGATTGTGCTTTCAGGTTCTGTGAAGGTTTGTGTTGGAATCCTGATGGGGGTTGCACTGAATCTGTATATTCCTTTTGGTAGATCAGCCATTGTCACTATTATAAAGCCTACTGACCCATGGGCATGGGGGATCTGTCCGTCTTCTGATGTCTTCTTCACTTCCTTGCTTCAAGGTCTTAAAGTTTTTAATCATACAAATCTTGCACTGACTTGGTTAGAGTTATCCTGATTTTTTTTTAGATTATTGTGAGAGGTATTGTTTCCTTGATTTCCTTCTCAGTCTGTTTGTCATTTGAATACAGAAAGGCCACTGCTAGTTTTGTACCCTGCTACTTTGCTTAGCGTGTGATAGGCTGTAGGGGTTTCCTGGTGGAGTCTTTAGGGTCTTTTATGTGCAGAATCCAATCATCAGAAAATAAAGATATCTGACCTTTTTTCTTTTCCTATTTGTACCCCCTTTGTCTCCTTCATTTGTCTTATTTTTCTGGCTAAGACTTCAAGGACTCTACTGAACCAGAGAGGAGAGAGTGGACATCCTTTCATTCCTGAGTTAAGTGGGAAGGCTTTGCCTTTTTCTCCGTTCAGCATGATTGTGGCTTTGGGCTTGTAATATGCTGCCTTTGTTGGCTGCCATATGCCCCTCGGACCCCACATTTCTTCAAGACGTTTTATCATGAAAAGATGTTGGGTTTTGTCAAAGACCGTTTTTGCATCTAATAATATGATCATGTGGCTTCTGCCCTTGGACCTGTTTATGTGAAAGACCACATATATTGATTCAAATAAAAAGCTCGATGCCAGGAATGAATTAGGCCTTTTGGAATTGTTGGACAGCAAGGTCCTAAACCCCCCAACATTGCAGGCCATTGCCAATGTTTTGGTTAGCCTCCAGGACTTGACAGTAAGACCCTCTTGCTGAAAACCCCACACAGTGGAGTCATAGTACATGGAGAAATCTTGCTGGTAGAAACCTGGAAGCCTCATCCCTGCTGGCTACCTTTCATGGTGCGAGAAGATGCTTATGCATTCTACTAGGGGAGAAAAACAATCCACTTTCTTGCCTAAGTGTAAACCCTGTGAACTACACTCTAACAGTAGCACTGGCAATATATGCTCACTGGTGCAATAGCAGCACGAAAGGGAGTAACCAAACACCTTCTGGTTGAATTTAACACACATCACACAGAAAGGAACTCATGCCAGGTACTGTTACAAAAAAATGGTGACTGGCTAGGTCATAGGGCCTGGGGGAAAACCTCATACTATTATTCTGCTGAGTAGACATAGCAATACAGTTCCCCTAGTGCTTGTTTTTAAGCCTGGAGATTGGTGTACATATTAAGTCCCATCAAATAAATTTCTTTTTATGGTAGGGAGCAATCAACATAGAGGCCCTACAATTTATCGATATGCTGCGAATAAGAGACTGTGGAACTCTCAGCTCTAAGTGAAACAGCTGTATCATATCCTTTACTCCTCCCCCTGCCCCCTCCCTCTCCCCACCCACCCCTTTACACTCCCCCCACCGTTGTCCCCCAACTTCGGGATCATTGCAGCAGCAGGGTTGGGGGAAGCAGAAAGATTGTAAGAGCTCCAGGCATTAGACAGCTATAGCCAAACCGTGCTTGCTGGATGTGACCGAGCCTTGCACACACAAGCACACAGCAACTATCACTGCGTGCACAAGCCCTGCACGAGATCAAGTCCACCAAAGTCGACGCACGCGTGGGGGAGGGGCTCGTGAAGCCCCGCCCACAAGCAGAGGCTCCACTAACAGCTGAAGGCTGCTGGGGGTTGGAGCGTCCTTCTGCCTCTGCTTCAGCAGACTGTGGCATGTACACACCACGCAGACCCGGAAGGGTTAAGTAAAGAACCCACAAAGGTGGGAAGGAACGGAGCCCAGAAGGCAGATGAGAAGCTGGGGGGGGAGGAGACGGATTTCATCAAAATGCACTATGTGCGTGCATGAAATTCTCGAACACACAAAAGGTAAATTTTATTTGTAATATTGAAAACAAGACATTATCCTCGTGCGCAACGCCCCACCTCTCATGAACGAAAAGGACGCATGAGCAGCAGCAGCAGCAGCAGCAGAACTTCCCCACGGAAAGCGAGCTCCACTGCAATGGGGCCCACCGCCTTCGAGAAACACCCACCTCAGCTCCAAGCAGGATGGGAGCGAAGGATTTCACTCTTGAGAAAAAAATTTTTGGTTTTTTTTTTGTTTGTTTTTGGTTTTTTGGTTTTTACGAGACAGAGTTTCTCTGTATTGTTTTGGAGGCTGTCGGTCCAGCCCGGCCTCGAACTCAAAGAGATGCGCCTGCCTCTGCTGGGATTAAAGGCGTGCGCCACCACCGCCCGGCGAGAAAAAAAGTTTTTAATCATTTAGAGAACCTGGAAGATGTATAGTTAATGTTTTTATTCATGTACGTGTGTGTATGTGAACGTTCGTTCGTGTGTGTGTGTGTGTGTGTGTGTGTGTGTGTGTGCGCGCGCGTGCATGCGTGCCAGCAGAGGCCAGAAAGGGGCATCGGATCCCCCTGGAGCTGGGATAACAGGTAGTTGTGCGCCACCCAATGCAGGTGCTGGGACCTGAATTCAGGTTTTCTAGGACAGGAGTGGCTCTTAACCAGAAGCCATCTCTCCAGCCCACATACATAGAAATATGGGCTGAGAATAAAGGGGAAAAAAGTTTCCAAGAACCCTAATATGAAATAAATAAGGGAGGGATGCTGGGAGGTAACAAAACTCACAGCTGCCTTTTTCCAAACAGGTGAAAGGAGAAGAGATACAGAAGTATCCTTTTCTGGATAGGAAAAGAATGGTGAGGGGGAGAAGGGGGCCGTAAACAAAGGAGCAAGAAACAATTTGGAAAGAAGATGGAAGCTCTTAAGACTCCAGCAATGAGCCTGGCGGTGGAGGTGCATGCCTTTAATCCCAGCACTTGGGAGGCAGAGGCAGGTGGATCTCTGTGAGTTCGAGGCCAGCCTGGTCTGCAGAGCGAGTTCCAGGACAGGCTCTAAAACAATACAGAGACCCCTGTCTCGGGAAACAACAACAAACAAACAAACAAAAAAAACCCCAAAAAACAAAAAACAAAACTGGAGCAACAAAACTGGAAGAAGCAGAAGGTGAACTCAACTCCATCTAGGGATAAAAACCGTCCTCGCGGGGAATGATGGGCTGAGACGAGGCTTGCAGCTGAGTTTAAGAGTCGGCAATCTGTGAGCCTGAATGCACCGCAGACCAAATGCGTCGCTGAAAACGCGTGGGGAGAAATGAGACACATCCCGACAAACAGAGCCCAGGGTTTCCCACCCATCAGCTCTTCCCGAGAGGAGCTGCAGGCAGAGCCTCACAGAAGACAATGACTCCGAGGAAGGCTGAGATCAAGTAGGGAAGGCAAGAAGGAAAGAGATATCTGGAGGATTAGAAGATCACTGCCTGTGACAGGGTGCCCTGGGCGAAGGAGGAGACAGTCCTGGAAGGCACTGGGTAACCACAGTCCTTATGCCCCTGAGTTTTCCTGCCAGCCAGGTGATAAAGTTTCTGCCTAAATGGAACTTTTGTCCCAGGTAAACAAATGATCACAAAAACAAAACAAAAACAAAACAAAACAAAACAAAAAGTCTACTCCAAGATGGGAAAAGAAAAATGCAAGATTCAAAGTTACAGCAAGATTCGGCGAAATCTGAGTTTCAGGTGAGAGGAGGCTACGCTCTGTCCACACATCCTGAGGCTCCAAGAGATGTGAAGCCACACCCAACACGAGTCGCTGTGGTGCCGGAAGGCGTGGAGTGTGAAAGATCTGCCCCTGAGAGGATCGTGTGTGTGTGTGTGTGTGTGTGTGTGTGTGTGTGTGTGTGTGTGTGAACCCACCCAACCAAAGGCCGAGAGGGTCGAGAGGGTCTGATACCGGCACTTAGTGAGGTGAGAGAGACCGAGAGAGAAGGGATACGGAATGATATGCAGAAGGCTGCCCACTCTATAAGCCTTTTCCAAGTCACCTCTGAGAAGGCTACGCACGAAGCCAACACGAGCCTCGTGCCTAACCAGCGGAGTTTGAGGATCTAACTGCAGTTAAGTTGGTCTCGTGCCCCCTGCCATGACTTGCATGTCAGCCACGCCGAGCCTCAAGGGTCCTCACACATAGCTCTCCCGTCCTCCATCGGTGGCAGCTCAGATCAACGTCTGCCACACTCGTCCAGGTGAACGGCTGGTGTCATGGTCAGGATCCAAGTCTTAGCAGAGAGGAGACCCCGCTGAGTTCCCACTTGTGTACCTGATCTCAACAGACATGGTCCTAGAGACAACCACACGCCTGCACGGGCAGCCTTACAACGGAGGCCACCCCAGGGTGGGAGTAACCAGGTGTGGGAGCCCGTGAGTACACAGTGCTCACACACCCAAGACATTTGCGGAGGCAAACGGACATTGTTCTACTAGTTTTCTGACAGGAACTCTTACATGAGCAGGGGCAGGAAGACAAACGCCCCGGGAATCACGAGGGATCTGAAAACTCGGATCTTCTGGGCGTTTCAATGGGGTGGTGGGTATCAGAAACTAGGAGAGTGAGTGTGAAGTGGTCAGTGGACACTGAGGTAGAGACACAGCAGCGAGAGTGCCGTGTTGCCACACGGGGCCATACATGCATTCCCGTGGAAAGCCACATGAAGGGATTTCAGACAGTTCCCTCTAAACACGCGGCTTTGGTGGGTGGACACAGCTAGCCGGCTAGAGTTCACATGTTCACACGGCACAGCTCCTGGACGTGATCATTTTGCATGTTTGATTTTAAATTAAAGATCATCTCCAAAATTTAAAAAACAGTAAAGTTTTTTAATGAGCAGGAAGGACACAGCTATTTACTTTTACAAGGTCAGCCGTCTTAAGCTCTACGGTCTGCAGTGCAGTTTCAAGCCTTCAAAGTCGACCGAGGTCTGTAGAACGCGCTTTCACGAACACTCTCATCTAACGGTTCCTCTGACAGACACAGGGGAGGGGCTGGGGTGCCAGCAAAGGTCCTCACCCGACATGAGCGTTGACATCAGGAAGAGAGACGTTGGTAAACTGCCACATCACACAGGCAAGCAACGTCTGGACTGGTTAGGAGGCAAGCCAGCCACGATTTGTGTGCCTGCAGCCAGCGTGTTCATCCATTGTTTTCCTATTCAGGGATAATTGTACCTTACAAATCTCGGAACCCTTCCTCAGTCTTCCTGCTGACGCGCTTCACAACATCAGTGCTGTCTGCATATTTAGTGACTCCGGAACACGGGAAGCACGCTGCAAATCCCCCAACACACATCGAAGGGGCGTGGCCGAGCACACAAAGGCAATGCACCTAACCTCACAAATCTACAGATAAAACATGGTTGCAGTAAAAGCGTTAAAACTATTGGGATGGCATAGCAAACAGGACACACCGGCAGTGAAACTGGTGAAACGCGTCTGCGCATATGTGTGCTGGACACGACCACGGGCTGTGTCACGTGCACTCGATTGGAAACCCTGGAGCAGCCAACGGAGGCAGAGAGACTCTGACCCAGGCTTAGCTGGCCCACCCCAGTGCTTTTAACAGACTCACCTTTCAAAGCCTTAGGGGGGAAGAAAACCACATGATGCTAACCTTTCATTCTTATTCAATCTGAGGTAGAGGAAGTGCCCGAAAGCACACAGGCCCTCCTCTGTGGTGTCACAGCCCTCGAGACCGAAGTAACTTTTATAGGAAACACGCATTCTAGAAATACCACACGTGTACCACCAAAAACCAAAGCAAGAACCTACCAATCAACGGCATGTTAGGACTGCCTGCTGCCGGGCCGTTCCTGACAGGCAGTAACCGGACCTACAAGCTGAGTACAAACAGGCCTGAAGGTGCTTATTACACCAGGACCGCTGTTTGCAGTACAGTAGATTCTTAGAGCACTCTTGAGGCTTTCTTATCTAGAGCACCAAGATCTAAATATAGATACTTACATTATTGCACTCTCCAAGGAAGTACAGTGCAAATCCGTCGGCTTTTGTGGCTGCCAAGGCAATAAAAAAGAAGGAAGAAACTAATCTCAATGGAAGAATACAACATCACGGATTCTACAGTGAGACTCGAATCTTTGCCTGGATTGGTTAGCATAACCGATGCCCACAAACACAACAGTGTACCGCGTGCCTTTGTCCCACAGCATAATCAGAAGGTTCCCCAGCTTTCAACAGCGGCTGCATGTAAATAATGTTCACGGCATCGTCCAGTGCATAAAGTGCAGGCCACGCACCTCATACATGTCATCTGCCGGACCGTCAATCATCACAGTGACAGAGGGGCACTGCATTTCATGTGTAAGTGTAAAAAAAAAAAAAAAGACCCACAGGAATATTGAATAATTAAGCGGCCACCAGAAAAAAACATTATGTAAATAAATACGTAGCACTGAGGTGGACATATTTTAACTTACATGTGTCTTCAGGATCTTCCAAACACTCTATGTCCTGGGAGGGGGGGCGTCACCCAAATTTAAAATTCCCTATAACACACTTGGGTCTGTGCATGTTTGGGTGGGGTAGCTAGCCTCTTGATCAACAAAACAGTGGGGTCCCAGGCTCACTTGTGGGGTGACGGTGACAATGAGCCAGTCAGCATGTGTGGTAGCCCGCAGAGTTGGCTGGCACAAGCGGCAGCCACAACAAACACTGCTGTCCACGTGTCCAGGCGGTTTTTATTCTCAGGTTAGAAGCTTGAAAGACTCAGCGCCATAGGGGCAACTGAAAACGCCATGTCCTGAAGGACTCAGCATCCTGTCTACAGTACAAGCACACTTCTGGCTATCCGAGTGAGTCCCAAGCATGCCTGCCTCCCTTAACAATTAATAGCTTGTCTTCAGAGACAGAACCCTAAGCTGGGTGGCTACAGTTGGGGAGGACCTGGGAGGAGCTGGGGAGAGGGGGATAAACATGGCCAAAATACACTGTGTGGAACTGTCAAAGAATACATTAAAACATCGTTTTAAAAGCCTGGCATCTTCCTTTCCAAAGATGTGATTTAATTCCATACAAAGGGGGGCGGGGCACCATTTACAGCAGGCAGGCACTTATTTGATCTCGGGTCATTGCAGGATTTGTCGGTTCCTCCATTCTGGTAGGTTCGCACTCAAATACTTCCACTACCAAGCTGAGCCCAGCAAGGGAAGGCAGTGAAGAGTGCCCTCCCTCCCTCCCTCCCTCCCTCCCTCCCTCCCTCCCTGCACAGTGAGACAGAGGCCTCCTGTGCTCTCTGCAAAGTGGCCCGACCTGAGAGGGAGAAGGGGAGAGCGGGCAGCGTGCCTTACCTATCCTGATGATGCTGCTCAGCTCGTAGAGGAGCAGGTGGTTGTCCCCGCCTGTGTCCAGGCGCTGCTCTATGTAGCTGTTCAGCTCGTACACAACTCCCTGCATGTTCGTGTCCTGGTACTTCAACACAAAGATAACAGAAGTGAGGCGTGGCTGAAGCATGGGGGGGGGGTAAAAAAAAAACCAGAAAGCAATACTGCAGCGGGCTCTGTTTGCCGGCTGCTCAACCAGAGCACGGCTAAACGTGACAGTCTGGCCGTGACACAGGGAGACTGAAAAACCAAACCTGCTGTGACTCCCTCACTGAACACTGTCTTAAAACTGCACCCGTCTCGGCATATTCATGCGAGAACGTCGCATGTCATTAAGCTACAACTTTTACACGGGGCAGCCTGACTGGCCAAAGAGGTTCAAAGGTCGTGACGTCACACTAGGTGAACTGTGACTCCATGGGCTCAGGGGTGGGCGGTGTGCTCTGGAGCTGCTGAGGTCACTGCTCGGGCACTCCACCACACCAGCAGGGAGAGTGCACAGGGTGGGTGCTCAGCTGACCCCGCCCCGGGGAAGGTCACACCGCCCCTCTGTCTGACCCAAGCCTTCTCACTGCCCCCCCCCACCCCACGCTTGCCTTACAAACCCTGTTTTCCAAATAGTAAGCATTGCGAAAAAACAATTAAATAAATAAATAAACAAACAAAACCCGCCTGCCCTCAGCTGAAAACCTTCCCGGGGTTCCCACCTCACAGGGGAAATAAACCAGAGCCTCCAGCAAGCACTGCTGCTGTCCACCAGGGACGCCACCTCTCCTGTCCCCTGCACACTCAGGGTCTCAACTCAGGGTCTCTTTCTGGGCCGCTCACACATCTCTCATTCTAAAGACCAGCTACTTGTGACACAAGAGTCATGTGCAAACCCTGTCTGTGCGGTTGAGCCAGGGACTCCATCAGCCGGTCATCCCACAGCGCCCGGCACGCCTACGGACGGTCCCTCTGCGGCTCACACTCTAACGGAAAGGTGTTAAGCCCCATCTTCTCCAAGTGCAGAGCAGAGAGGACCCAGTGAGCCAGTGAGCGGAGAGAGCCCCTAGCTAGACCACTTGGGCCACAGGTGCTTAGTGAGCCCGGCGCTTCCCTGATTGCCGTAGGAAATGGCAGGGCTGGTGAGCCATGGTGAGTGACTATAGCAGCCTGGCTGCCACCCCAACTCATGGCTTAGGCTCCCCCCAAGGACCTGGCTACGTGAAGAGCCTGTGCTTGCAGTGATCCAGGAACAAGCATGAAGACTATGAAGACTGTCTTCATCCAACTACCTCCCCTTAAGTCACTTACAAGTCAAACCTCAGGGTGGCGGGAGGCCAAGTGGCTACATTCAGTATCCGGGGATGAAGAGAGCAGTATTAGCACAATGGACAAAAATAAAAGCTGCCACCAGCATGGCCCCATCTGCAGAGAACTGAAGTCCTGGCCAGATGATTGGGTGTCCTTGCCCATCAACAGGGCAGCCCCTCTGGCATGCTTTCATGTCTCTAACCAGAAAGTTCTGAGTGAGTGAGTGAGTGAGAAAGACAGAGAGAGAGAGAGACAGAGAGACAGAGAGAGAGAGAGAGAGAGAGAGAGAGAGAGAGAGAGAGAGAGCAGAAATAAGCCTGATCACCACAGCAGACTTGTCAATGAGGTGTCAGGGGAAGTAGCCAGTTCATAAGCTTGAATCCTTTAAATCAAGAATGGGAGGCCAGGCCCAAGGGAACAAGGACATCGCTGTACAACCAACAATTCATAAAGCAGACCGCCTCCTTCCTGCCCCACAAGCCTGCAGATCCCTACCTCAATAACTGTGCAAGAAGTTACCCAAACTGGAGGACCACTGAACCTCACCTCCGCCCAGACCATGCCTATGATGCATTGTTGCCGGATTCTGTCTCGGAGACAGATTGTTGTCGCTCCCCGGCTATTTTCCAGCTTGAGACTCTGCCAGACTCCCACGACACAGGGACACCAGCGTGGTGGCAGAATCTGCACAGGAGCCACCAGCTGTTCAAATCCCAGGGCCCCCGGAACAGCACTGAGCAGGTTACAGCCTGGGGAGGATCCTCTGGGAATCGCTCTGGAGGATGCTGTAGGATAATCTATTGTCACAAATGACCTTCCCAGCCGCTAACCAGAGCGCTGTCTCTGAAGTTTCCCTGGGTCCTGGGAACGCACTTCTCTGAGAGGTACACTGACCAGGAGAAAGCTGAGTGAAGAGAGCAACCATGTCAAAAGGCCCCACTATACATCTGGGGTTCACCTATTTTGTGGGGTGTGTCTGTGTGTGAGTGTGTGTGTGAGTGTGTGTGTCTGAGTGTGTGTCTCTGTGTGTGTAAGTATGTATATCTATGTGTGTGTGTGTGTAAGTGTGTTTCTGAGTGTATGTGCATGCATGTGTCTGTGTGTGTGAGAGAGAGTGTGTGAGCTAAACTGAGCTAAATCCCTGGCCTTTAGATGCTTCTTTCCCATGAACACACATATTTTTTGTGTGTTTCCTGAAGGCAGGGGAAACTCAGCGTGTGGACAAATGAGTAGCTGAGCCCTGGTACAAGTGGCTTCCCAGCAGGTCCTTCCTCACAGCCCGGCAACGCCCTTCGATAACAAGCTTTGCCCTACTGAGGTCAGTGCCCAGCAGTTTTCCATCTCTTCTGGACCAGGATCAGTTGTCACACCACACACACACACACACACACACACACACACACACACACAAGTACCCTGGGACAGGGATGAAATACCTATTGTGGGATGTCATCTCTGGGCTCAGAGTTTCTCATCTGTGTGAAAGGGGGACAACCTAGATACCTTGTGACCCAGAGCGAAGAAAGTCAGGTACCACACAGTCTCCCAAACCTTGGGATGAGAGTGGGCACCCTCTCCTTCACTTTCTGTCCACACTGATCTCGTGTGGAAGAGTCTTTAGCAGCGCAACCCACTGAACACAGCTCTTCACAGCGAGGACAACGCCAGAAAACAAAACCCAAAGTCTGTTAAGTCCTATCTGACCGATGCTGTGGTGGAACCTCACTGTGTCCTCAGCCGTCACTAAGGGCTCACCGTGGTGCCTCGGGAAACTGGGGCTTGTCTACAATGTGGATCCTGGACACTGAACACACTTCCTCGGCCTGCGCAGTAAGCACTTTACATGCTGAGTTATGTCTCCAGCTCGGTTTAGGCATTTTAAAGTAAGCAATGCTATAAATAAAGACTTTTTTTTTTTTTGGTCACACAGACACCATGAGCTGAAGAATCCTAACGTTTCTACAACAGAGCACTGGCAGGGAACAACCAACGAAGTCCACGGAGGCAGAGGCACACTGGCAGCTTGGGGTGAGCGGCTGGCTTCCAGCCGCCATTTATGTTGAACTCGGTAACAAGTACTTGCCTGACATCTGGGATCCATCCTCAACACCTCTGAAAGATAGGTAAGAGCAGCAATGGACAGAGTCACGGGAGGTTTACCCTAGACTTACGGGAGAGAGGAAAGGCTCGGCCAGTCCTGGAAAGCAACTCTGAGGAATGTTTACTGCTCTGTGAAGAGGCAGGCATGTTTCTGGGAGCACAGTCAGAGAAGCAGAGCAAGATAGAGAAGATGGGAGACAGAGTGGAGAGACGACCCCCCAGGGCAGCTGCTCGGGAGGGAGCACAGAGTCCTCCTCCACATCAGGCACCACCCACCCGAGGGATTCACCCTGAGCTGGACAATCAGGCGGGATCCTATAAACGAGCAGGGTTAGCTTCTGAAAACCTATGGGTCAACTCGATGCAAAGAAATAGAAATAACAAAAGCTCATACTAATGAGGAACATTGCGTTCGAGGGCTTGCCAAATAATATGAACTGATTTAACTTAGGGCAGCCAGGTCGACATGGTGCAGAGGACCATTTGAATAGTAATTCAGGAAGAGGAGCATGATGTAACTAGTCGGGAACCACTAACAGCCAAAGATTCCGATGCTTAAGTTACGGGTGGAAAAATCGCTGTGGACTAAGACTCCTAGCAACAGTGGAGAGGGTGCCTGAACTGGCCGTCTACTGTAAGAAGACGGGTGACCACCCTAATTGTCATCAGAGAGCCTTTATCCGGTAACTGATGGAAGCAGATGCAGAGATCCACAGCCAAGCACTGGGCGGAGCCCCAGGAGTCCTCCTGAAAGAAAGGGAGGTGTGGGTTGTGGGAGACAGGGCAGGGGGGGGTCAAGGTCATGAAGAGGAACCCACAGAGACAGCTGCCCTGAGCTCCTGGGAGCACATGGACTCTGGATCAACAGTTAGGGAGCCCGCATGGGTCCCACCTAGGCCCTCTGCAGGTGTGTGACAGTTGTGTGGCTTGTTTCTAAGACTCCGTAGCAGTGAGTCAGGACATGTCCCTGGCACCTAGCTGGCTTTTGGGAGCCTGTTCCCCATGCTGGGCTGCCTTGCCCAGCCTTTTTGCAGGGGGAGGCACTCTCTGGGTAAAGTCAACTTGATGTGGCGTGCTTTGTTCAAGCCCACGGGAGGCCCACCCCTTTCTGAGTGGAGACAGAGGGGCAGTGGAAGTGGAGGGGCCAGACGTGAGTGTGTGGGGCGGGAGGAGAGGAGGGAGGAGAAGTATGGTTGGTATGTAAAATAAACGAAAGCCTTTTAATTAAGTTAAATAAATTTTTTTAAAAACGGAAAGAAAATTGCTGTGGAGGGGAGGTAATGGACACAGGAGGAGACAGCAGATGTAGCGGAAATGCTGGGCCGAGCATACGGGCTTCTGCGTGTGTGGGTCCCTGGGAACTAAAGCGTCTCATCGGCGTGCAAGCACACAGCAGCCCAAGTTCTGGCTCTCGGGGGGTTCAAGCTCTTGTTGGGGGGCGGAATTAATAAGAAATCATGAGCAAATAGTCCATCTTTGATAAAAAAAATCAAACGCCTTATCGAGAATCTGCAACATAAGAACAGCTGGATCCAGCAAGGGACGCTGCTGTTTATGGGTATCTTCTGCATTCCTTTCTTCACGACAAACATATGTGTTTAACAGCAGTGTATGCGACACCTGGGGCTCAGTGGGCCGGGACCGGCTGCACATCTGGGCTCCAAACAAGTCCCCTGTTGCGTTATCTTCACG